TTACAAATTTTATAATATTATTGTAGATATCATGATAAGCGTATTGATAATTTACATGAAGAAGGAAAAAGATCCTATTGTCAGAAACGTGATATGATATATGTACCAGCAAATAAAAAAGGAAATAAATTAAAAGATTGTATTAAATATCTAGAGGTAAATTTTAATAATGTTCTGAATGAAAATACAAGTGTTTCAACATTTTATGAATTAATTTTTGTAGGAACAACTGAAAGACAATTCAATTATATATTGCCAGTGGTATGATGACTGTGTTTTACAGTTAATGTTAAGTAATGCATTATTAATACATATACAAGTTAACATTGCTACTGGTGATGTGTCTAAAATAACTTTTGATAAATACCTTGTAGGAAAATTGTTAGAACATATTTCAGATGGTAATTATTCATTTTTGTAAGATTTATATTTATACATTTATTAAATGATCTTTAATCCTTTTATTATTTATATTTATAGTGATAATTACTAAAAATTGTATTCTTTGCACCTATAATGATAATCAAGTAACTATTGTACATTTTACAAGATCAAAAAGACATGTCTTTGATAAAATTAATAAACTTGAACCAAAATTATCCACAATGGATCTGTTTGGTCCTAATGGTCGTAGATTGGATAAAAAAGTACAAACTACTAAATGTGGTGATTTGGTAAATATTTTGTTCAAGTTTTTTAACATATATAATTTCTCCAGTTATCTCTCCTACAATTTATATTAAACTTTAAAAATTGTAGATATTAATTTGGTGGAAATCTACAATGAATGAAGTTTATCCTTGGAGTCCTGCTGTAAAGGAACATGATCGTGCTAACATACATCTTTATCGTTTATTAGGGTATAAAATTATTTTTTCATATCTTTGCAAATATTGTAATTCTTTAAAATTGCCTCGTTTTTATTAAAAGCAAGTATTAATTTCTTCATATCTATTGAAAGCATTTGTGTACAATGTATTTTTATTTTCAGAGTAAAATTAGAATTAATTTGTTATATACGTAGTGAGTTTGATCCTTTATGTATAATGTTTGATGCATGTAATGATAATATTATTCATTCTGTAGAACAAAAAGTATCAAGAAAGGTAACAGTAGTGTATTATTTATTATTATAATCATTTTCATAGTATTTATTTTACATTGAACACATTACATCATCATAAATGTGATATAGGGAGAGGTGACTATAGAATGGCGTACATATGAAGTTTCCCAACAAGATAAACTTCAAAGAATAGCAATGGTTTCTGTACCATTGCCCACACATACAAGTTGTGTAAAATTTTCACCAACCCAAGAGTTATTGTTATTATGCTGTATAGATGGTTCTGTTATAATTTATGATCAGACTAGAGCCACTACTACCAGTGTAAAAGCAGCTTTTGTAAGTTATACATACATGCAGAACTTAACACAAAAACAGGAATTCCTTAAATTTCAAAAACTATATACGTTTTTAAGATACCTACATTGGCATCATGGCATAGTGATGGAATAATATTTGTTGTCGGAAATGACAAGGGTCAGTTCCAACATTTTGATGTTGCTTTGTCATGTATTAAGAGCCAAAATAAAGAAAAAAAGAAAAAAAAGCCAATATTCTTGATTTGTCCTCATATTTTAGGTATTGTTTAAAATTTACTTATCTATTAATACAATAACATTTATATTTACTTGTAATGTAGGATTCAACCAGCATTATTGCGCATGGAATGGAATAAAAAGAATGATTTAAATTGTTATATTGATCTACATAATCATGGAAATTCCTTTAATAGAGGACCTGTAGGTGTCATCAAAATGTTGGAAGGAAATTCTTTCACTGGTGATGTATTAGTCAAGAGATATTTATCTTTATCACAAGTTGAACAAGCAACTTCTTTATTGCTATCTATGAATTGGGATATTCATCCCCGTGCATGTATGCATGCACTAAATCAAATTGTAAATTATTTGTTTAAATTGCCATTGACAACTGAACGTGAAAGTAAGATATAATTTTGTAGTTTTCTTATCTTATCTTACATAATACAAATAATTTGATTTTCTGTAGATCTTATACAAAATGCATTGGGTAGTTTTCATGTGCCAGTTAAACCAATAAGTCAAGCCATTGAAGAAGAATATGGAGATGAAATAAGAGATTTAACACGACGATTTTTCCACCACTTATTAAGGTATTACATACCTGTACTTTTTAAAAACATTTGAGTATGCACCAGATTAATCCTCTTGTAGGTACCACATGTTTGAAAAAGCTTTCAGGCTTGCTATAGATTTGAACGATCATGACCTTTTTATGGACATACATTTTTATGCACTAGTTTTAAATGATACAGCAATGGCAACTGCAGCAAAAGAAAATGCTGAACGTATATTAAGTAGATCAAATAGCTGCAGTAGTTCACGTAAGAATAAATAGAATATTTTGCAAAACATTTTATTTCATTAAAGTACTAAAGGAAACAATTTACAGACTCGACATGTTCTAGAGCATCCTGTTCATTATGCTCTGATTCAGCAAGTGATAAAGGAGAAGAATCCTGCAGTGATGAAAGTGAAAATTCATCAAAGGAAAATCAAACTGATATAAAACAATCAAAAAGCCATAATTACAAGAAAGAATCCAACTGCCAAATTCCACCCTTACCAGTTCTCCATCCTCATCCCCTTAATAAAAACTTATTATCTGCATCATTTACTGATGTTTCATGTGGTGAAAAAACTGATTGTAATATAGAGTCAAGATCTTTCACTGTACCTAGCAGTACTCTTACCACAACTTCGTATAATCAGTCAACACATTTTTCACTTTCAAATACATTTTTTACATCAACATCATTCAACAAACCACTATATAAAACTCATACAAATCCAACATCAATATCTACAATGACTTCTACTAATAGTTCACAGTCTTTCAATAATGTTTCTGATGACTTAATGACAACTTCATTCGGAAGTTTATCTTTAAATGAACAAAAAACAGCGGTATCTAATCGTCTTACTGAAAACTCTGTGGATACTACATTGAACACAGTTCTGCGTGGTGAAATACAATTCCCTCTTGACAAAATATCTAATGATACAATAACAACAAATTTAGTTCAAGATAACAGCTTTATGTCAACACCTTTTAATAATCCAACATATGAATCAGTTACATCAGATGTTTCTTCTGATTTGTTGAGATCTTCATTAGATAACATAGATAATAATATTATGACAACATCTTTTAGTACACTAGGTACAGATATTGCAAATCCATATAATTCGTTTAACGATTTAGTGGCTACTAAATCTGAATCTAACACTCCTCCATCTCCTCTGAAAACTATGAAGTCATCTGTTACAATGAATGACTTCACATCTAAAGCACTTCCCGATTCTGTTATAGTAAATAAATTAACATCTAGTTTTCATAATAGTCATAGTAATCTTGCATCTACTTCGTTTAATTTTCTTGAAAATCAAATACAAGATTCTTGTAATAGCAGTTTGAAAAGTCTTAATAATGAAGATAATCATAATGTTATTAAGTTGCAACCATCTTTTATGACAAAAAAACAAGTAGATTTCAATATTCCACCACCACCTTCTTTAACAAATTCATTTACAAATCATTTTCAAAGTCTTCCAAAAAAGAATCTTCCTTTATCTAGAAGTACATCTGGATTAGCAGATATTGATGAATCTATTCAAAAATTTTCGTCTATTAGGACGAGAAATGTCACATCACATGTATTACAAAGACAAAATTCTGCATCCAACATTTTACAAGATCAACACAAATATAGCAATACTAAACCTTCTAGGTACAGACTCAATTATGACTTTAATTACATTTCTCTTCATGGAAGTTGTGATAATATTGATATGCATTCCTCTACTAATAATATAAAATTAACTAGTTCACAATTTTCTTCTACATGTGGTACACAGAACAGATTTGATAGTAGACATTCAAAATTAGTATTATCACAAAATAGTACAAATACTAGTATTAGTAAAGAGTCAAAAATATCTTCCAACATTCCACCTTTACCTATCATATCACCCCCTACTTCTAGTGCTATATCCTGCTCTCCGTTTTCTACCTTCACAGATACAACATTAACAACAAATGAAAAACCAAAAGTTAAATTTTCAGATACAGTAACACACATATTGGTACCTGGTTCTGTAAGTATGATTATATGTAAATGAAACATTAAAATACAAAATTATGTGATACTTATAACATATGTTTTACAGGGTCAATCACATAAACAAAAACGTTCTACAATTACTCAAGTACATTTAACTGATCCAAAACGCGAGTTAGCGGAAAGCCTTCCATTATGTCTTGGAAATGAAGACTACCTTAAAGATTTTCAACCACTATCAAGTGAGTCATAAAGTTTGACATCGTAACTTTTAGATATATATTATTACATTTTATAGAAGAAAACATCCATGATAAAGTAAAAGAATCTGCAAGACCAGAAGAAGGTTCCAAAATAAAAGTTGTGCACTTTGGACTATTATAGAAAAAGGTTTAGATTCTAATACAAAAAAATACATATATATACAAGACTGTATTTACATATATTTAAACTTTGTATCAAGACATGTATACTTTTATGTTGTACATAATTTTTATACAATAAAAATTGTTTTTAGAATGTATTACTAAATTATTTGTTATTACATAAATTATAAGTTCTTAATTTTTCTTTTTTCATAATTTGTTACATGACACAAATTTGATTCAAATTATTAAATTAGTACTAAATAACTCTATCATTACATAAATTAACTATTCAATTTATCTTTTCCTGTAGATATTAAAATCTTACTTATTCTTACTTTCAAGTAGTTCATTTAAATCAGATTTTATATCAAGTAACTCCTTGTTTGGTATCAAACGATTCTTTTGTAACACAGGATCATATTGATCTATACATAAGGAAACTCCTTCCGGTAAAGTTGCTTCCAATAGTCTAATAAAAATAGGATACTTTATGGATGATACATTCGATATTTGCACATCCCTTTCATAAATTTTTAATTGATATTCAGCATCAACTACTGCAGTCCCTCTTTTAAATCTTTTTATCTTAAATTCTGCATGAGGAAAAGGAAAACTGTGGAAACACAAAATATGTATATATACATGATCAAAATATAAAATATTAAGCTTTTTATTTAAAAGATATGACTATAACATTACCTATCTTCAACTGTAACATTTAATGCCTTTGCTAATTTATGAATAAAAGATTGATAACTTTCAAGTAAAGGATATTTGTATCCTTTAATTTGTATATTTAAGGTAGGGCAATTTGGTATTTTCAATTCCTTTTGCTATAATAGATAAAATGCGTTAATGTTATGGCGTAAAACATTATACATAATTTATAACAATTGATAAAATAACCTTTAAATACGGTGGTTCGTATATACCATAGAATCTTAGTGCTCTAATAATTAATGGATAGGTTCACATAACCTAAATGCTATTAGGAGAAATATACATTTACCTGTTTAAAAACATTTAATACCATTTTGTACTAAATGAAGGTAATGTTAAAAATTATTGCTTAATCTTTCGATAAATACGATCTCAACTGTTATTCTTTACATTAAATAAATATCATATCTAAATACCGCATGCATGCGCTAACCACCTATGCATATATGTATGTATTCCTATAAGAATCTACGTATTACATATCATCTTTAAGAATGATTCTGTAAAAATTATTTTCTACGGAAGAATTATTATGTATTAAAACTTGAATAAACATACGCGATTAGTTATTATTAAAAAAGTTGTAATCAAACATAATGTTAATACATCATTTTTTCTATTTGAAAAATTGCTTTTATTTTAACA